TGGAACTCCTTTCCAGAGGATGTTGTGAAGACCACAACTTTAAGGGGGTTCAAAAAAGAAAGAGAGAAATTCATGGAGGTTAAGTCCATCAATACTTATTAGCCAGAATGGATAGGAATGGTGTTCCTAGTCTCTGCTTGTCAAGCGTTGGAAATGTATGACAGAAGAGGGATCACTTGATGAATTACCTGTTTCTGTTCATTCCATTTGGGGCATCTGACACTGGCCACTGTTGGCAGACAGAATACTGGACTAGATGGAACTTTGGTCTGACTCAGTATGGCTGTTCTTATGAAATGGGAATATAAAGTGGCATGTACAATAGCTTAATTTTTTAAAAGACACTGTAAAGAAATGAGACTAGCAATATCTCATTTTGGCTCTGTCAGGACTGTTCCCCACTCTGGCACTCAGAGGTTATGTCTAAACTACGATCCTCTTGAGGAACAGGAAATGCAAATGGAGCACTCATTTGCATATCTTGTGCTCTCATTTTCATTTCCTCTTCCTTTACCTTTTGTGCAAGAGGTGCAAAAAAGTGCTGTGTAGACGTCACCTTTTTGTGCAAAAACCTTCTTTTGTGCAAGAGCCGTTCTTCCTCAAAAAAGTGATTCTTACTAAACACAGGTTCAGGATATTACCAAAAAAGACACTCTTAAACCTGCAAAGTTGTAAGGTTGTATCCTGAATCCATGAGTGTAAAGGTGGGCTGGGCCACTGCTTCCTTCAGCTTCTCTTAGCTGCAAAGGACAAAATGGAGCCAATGGGAGCCACGAGGCTCTGTGCCTGCGGCACCGGTAAATAAACAGCCAGTTAATGTGTTTCTGAGAGCGATTCCATGGAACACTTTCAGAAACACTGCTCTAGATTATACGGGTGACAAGAAGAAGGAATATATTTGAGGTATATGAACTTTAGCAAGGCTTTTGGCACAGTTGTGCATGATATCTTCATAAGCAAGAAAAGGAAGCACAGATGAAGTTATTAGGTTGGCATGTAGCTGTAGTAAAGACCAATCTCAAAGAATAGTATATCAATGATTGACTTTCAAACTTGGAGAACATATCAAATGAGGTTCTGCAGCTGTCTGTCCAAGGCTTGGTACAAGTCAATATTTTCACTAATGACTTGATTGATGGAGTAGAAAGTGTGTTTTATAAAACTTGTGGATGTCACCAACTGAGAAGGGGTTGAAAACACTTGGATAGAATTAGAATTCAGAAAGATAAATTGGAGAACGGATTTCAAATCAATAAGAAGGAATTCAATAAAGTCAAGTACTACACTTAGGAAGTAAAAAATCAAATATACAAATACAAAATGAGAAACAACAGGCTATGCAGTACTTCAGAAAAGGATCTAGGGGCTTTTGTGGATCATAAAATTATTAAGTCAGTAGTGTGGTAGCATTAAGAAAAAGGCTAATAACATTCTTGTATGTATTAAAAAGTCTCATATATAAGATGCAAGAGGTAACTGTGCTACATTATTTCACACTGGTGAGGCATCTGCTGCACTACCTTGTCCAGTTTGGGAAACGACATTTGAAGACAGTCTAAAGAAAAGCAAAAATGATAAAATAACCTTGGATAAAAGGTTGGAAGAACCGAGCATGTTTAGTCTAGAAAAAAATAAGTTGAGGGGTACATACGTTTCCTCATGTGAATAAAAGGTGCTATAAAGATCTGCTAGTCTCTGTGTCCACTAAAGGAAGGAAAAGAAATAGTTGATTTAGTTTTCAGCAAGGGAGACCTAGGTAGGATATTTAGAAAACTTTCTAACTCTAAAGCTAGTTAAACACTGGAACAGATTACTTAGTGAGGCTGTGGAATTACCAATATTGAAAGGTTAGGGAAACTCTTGTCAGAGATAGGATTGAATAAATCTGGACCATCTCAGTACAGTGAATGGATCAGATGATTTTTTGAGGTCTCTTTGCCCTGGTCTATACTAGGGAGTTATTTTGAAATAACAAGGAGAGTGTCCACACTACCAAGCCTATTATTCCTGCTTGTTAATCATTGCTGTAGGTTATTAAATGTGTAGTTATTATTTTGTTTTTTTATGCAACCTAATGCTAATAATCTTATCTACTTACCATCTTATCTTAAAATTGGTTGTTATTTACAAACTTCATAGAAGCTAAACTTTTTCAATGCTCATATGCCACCTTCTTAAAAGTGAGTCTTCATGAAAAGTCTTCATCACATGAAATCTCAATTCATTGACATTGAAAATGTTACTGAGACTTGATAGACAGCAGTAGATTGAATCCAGCTTGACCCAAAAAGGATTCACAAATGGCCCATCGGTTTCAAAGCATGTGTTCAGAGTTTTCAGGACAGTCATTCTTGACAGTGAACCAGAACTGTAAAAGCAAAAGCTGAGCATATGATCCTCATAATAATCAAGCACAGGAAACTTTCAATGCACTGTTTGATTTGGGTATGGATATGGGGAAGGCAGAGGACAATGACATACCTTAACATTAGCAAAACTTTTGATACTGTCTCCGACAGTATTCTTGCCAGTAAGTTAAGGAAGTATGGATTGGAAAAATGAATTGTAAGGTGGGTAGAAAGCTGACTAAATTGTCAGGCCCAATGGATAGCAATCAATGGCTCAATGTCTGGTTGGCCGTCAGTATCAAACAGAGTGTTCCAAGGATCGGTTCTAGACTCAGTTTTGTTTAACATCTTTATTAATGACCAGAAAATGAGGGGATGGATTGCACCTTCATCGAGTTTGCAAATGTCATTAAGCTAGAGGGAGAGGGAGATACATTGGAGGATAGGAATAGGGTCTAGAGTGGCCTAGACAAATTGGAGGATTGGGACAAAAGAGTCTTGCAGAGTCTTGCAGTTGGGACAGAAGAATCCTAAGCACTGCTGGGGACTGACTGGCTAAGCAGCAGTTTGACAGAAAAAAAATCTAGGTATTACATTGGATGAGAAGCTGGATATGAGTCAACAATGTGCTCTTGTAGCCAAGAAGGCTAATGGCATATTACGGTACATTAGGAGGAACATTGCCAGCAGATCTAGAAAAGTGATTATTCCCCTTTATTCAGCACTGGTGAGGCCACATCTGAAGTACTGCATCCAATTCTAGGCAAACCATTACAGAAAGGATGTAGGCACATTTGAGAAAGTCCAACAGAGGCAACAAAATGATTAGAGTGCTGGAGCACATGAATCATGAGGCGAGGCTAAGGAATTTGGGATTACAGTAAAATTCCAATAGTCCGGCATCCAATTGTCTGGCACTCCCGATAGTCTGGAATCAAAATGGGAAGAGCTCCTGACGGAACTGGGAAGGAACCCAGAATTGCTCAGGTCAGCTGCTCTCATGTGGGTTACAGCATGGAGGGGAGGTGTTTGGCTCTGGGGAATGGGAGAAAAGAGGAGGGGGATTGGGTTGCACACGGCATCCAGGCCAGCTCATTGAGAAGCCGGCCACTCAGCGCACATGCCCCAATGCCTGGAGGGAGACCCATGGCTGTACTGGTGGCTCCAGGACATGAGCATAAGGTGTGTGTGGGGGAGATGGTGATTGGGTTGGGAGTATGCAGTACCTCCTGATACTCGGGCATATCCGATAATCCAGCACCACCTAGGTCTCAAAGGTGCCGGATTATCAGAAGGAAGGGGAAAGGGGGGGGGGGGGATTTGATAGCAGTTTTCAGCTACCTGGGGGTGGGAGGTACAAAGAGGATGGAGAGAGGCAGTTCTCAGTAGTGACAGATGACAAAACAAGGAACAATGGTCTCAAGTTACAGTGCGGGAGGTCTATGTTGGATATTTGGAAAAACTATTTTACTAGGAGGGTGGTAAAGCACTGGAATGGGTTACCTAGAGGGTAGAATCTCCATCCCTAGAGATTTTTATGTCCTGGCTTGACAAAGACCTGTCTGTGATGATTCAGTTGGGTTTGCTCCTGCTTTGGGCAGTGGGTTGTGCTCGACCTCCTGAGGTCTCCTCCAACCCTACGATTCTATGATAGACAATCAAGAACTTGACTAGAGACTGAATCCAAGTTTAAAGCACATGCTACCTTGTTCCAAGTAGGTGGCCAAACTTTGCAGATTAAGATGGGGGAATAGCTTCAATACCATACGTGGCCTTGAAGAGGCACTATTGAGAAGTCCTAACTCCCACATGTAACAGCACCACAGGGAAATATGAAGGAAAAATAACAAACTTTATTTGATGGAAACAAAAGTATTCTTTTAAAAAAGAAACTATACTGCCCCTGCCTAGAACTCTCTATCTCAACATGACCTTTACCAGTGATGTTTGTGCCAAAAAAGGTGGGTTCCCTTCCCCCCCCCCCCCCCCTCCTCAACAAAAACTGAATCAAAACATTGATTCAGTCCCTGTTTGATTCAGACAAATTTTTGGAGAACAACAAAACAAAATTAGATATGGAAGGCATATTTTTACATGCAATAACTCATTCAAAGAACAGATGTAAAAACTTCCAGGCAGAACAGAAGATCATAAAGTAAGAGTCAGTGTTCCAGCAAAATGGGGCAGCCACAGCAGCAATAATAGATATTCTAAATTAACAACCATTGAACAAAAATGAATAATATTATAACAGAAAGCCACCTACACATCTTAGATGGTAAAAGTTAAACCAAATATTTGAATCATTCCATAGGGAAACTTACATATTGATCCTTGAAGAATAGTGCAGAGCAAAGACTTAATGTATAGTGCTGACAACAGCAGAAGAAATCAATAACAGCCAAGGAGCTGAATGCAAAGACCTGCTAAGACAGTGATACTGTTAAACCAACTATCATCAGGTAATTTTTACAATTTACTGATGAGACCTTAAGGAATAAATACAGTGTGGCTCTGGCTAACCTATTTCCTGGTTCCTAGTTAATCCCCCACAAAAAAACCCTCAAATGTTTTACATGTAAAATATGGAAAATACAAGCATACATTGTGAGCATTTAACTTGAAAGATGCATGGCCCCTTTCCCAACTTACACTTCAGCAGTACAGAACAAGATTGCATGGTCCCAGAGGCAGACAGGATAGCTCATGAGTAATATTATGCCTTCAAGCAATCTTTGTATAAAAGCAGGCTTGAATAACCACTTAGGAGAGCCAAATCTCTTCAGGTAGAAACCAGAGAATGAGTATAGCTCAGTATCTCCTTAGGAAATGGTGTGGAGGAGGGGGGAACCAATGAGTGGGATCATATGTTCTTGGCTCCTGTGCTTAGCTGAAATGAATCATTAGACCTAACCCAAGGGGGTGCAAAGGGAAGTCTGTGAATCTAAAGAATGCAGACGGTTATTTACTCCTATCAGGGAGTGGGAGTTGGTTTTACATAGACTAGAATGTATATCAAATATTTGTACACCACTTAAAAATCTCATTCAATTGAAAGGAATAGAGACTAGAGCTGAGGGTGCAGTGGGGAAAAAGTCTGAGATTGTGTGCCATTTTCAATGCCATAGCTTTCACATGAACTTTCTTTGAACACATAAGGGTTGAGCTCTGCTAGTGTGAATACTCCCAGAAAGATTGCTATGCCTCAAATGCTCCATCATTCACTGAAAGCAGATTTTGATGTATGTCTAGTTGTAATATTCACAACTTGCAATCTGTGCTCTGATTAGAAAATTAAAGTAAGTAACAAACCCCAAATAAATTGTGAATATTACAGTCAAAATGAAATTGGAAATGCTCTACATAAACCAATTAGCTACTGTGAGATGAAATACTGATAATGGTATATAAGCTAGGTACGTATTTTATGCAAAATGCAAATTGTACATTCAAATACGCAATAATTAAAGTAACCATTGGACCAAGATTTGTTCACTAGAAAAATCATGAGTTTTGAATAAAAAGACTTTTTTATGCACAATTTAAAAGCATAAAGGGAATTGTTGAATAAATTATTTCTTGAAAATTAGTCACTCAACACTAATGGCCAGCAGGATACTGAAATTCTTAATTATGCAAATCAAACTAACAGTCCCTTTTCTGGGCATATCTTTTCTCTTACTCTCCCATTTCCAAGGAACATATTTGTAATGGAGCAGTTTTCATATTGTGCTGGTTTTAGAACAAAGCCTCCACAAAACAGATAAAGAGAGAAAAGCAAAAGGGCAATATTAGGTGTAAAATCTCATGATCAGATGAGACTAAAGCCAAAGCCCACTGAAGACAATAGGAATATTTGCAGTTCTAATGGTCTGACCTATGAAGAACACACACTTTTGGCATACTGTACCAACAAAACTAAACAAGGCCTCAACTGTGTCAGGTGGGGTTTGTTGCTGAGTTACCCCATTTCTATAGTTCTGAGGTGTAGCCATGTTAATCTGTAATTGAAAAAACTTTAAAAACAGCAAATAGTCCTGCAGAACCTTAGAGACTAGCATAAAATGGAGATGGCACCATGAGCATTCATGGGAACAACCCACTTCTTTCATCTGAAGTGGATTGTGCCCACGCAAGCTCATGGTACTATCTACATTTTTTGTTAATCTCTAGAATGCTGCGGGACTACTTGCTATTTTTAAACCATTTCTATAGACATATACAGTAGGCAGCATGATCCTTTCGAGTTATGAGCATAAGAATAGGGTAGAACAGCACAAAAATAAGTTACACATTTTTGCTAACTTTGTCATGAGATCTCATTCCTTTTTATCAATTTAAATTAGTATAAATGATTGAAAAGCAGTGCAAAATGAATGCCCATTTTTCTTATCAAAATTTGAAATAGAAATTGCACTTTTGTTTAAATTGTAAATTTTAAAACTTTTGTCCATTGATTTGTTCTTCCTCCTGCCCATGCAAAGACCAGGCACAAATGAGCCCCAGAGGGAAAAAAAAATGAACTTTCATCAGAATAAGTATATTTTCATTGTATTTCCTTGTGCAGCGAAAGAGAAATACAGGACAAAATCATCCTGTCCACCACTAAAAACTCCAACTTTTATAACAGAAAAAAATTAAATATTAAGAATTTATTTTGCATGAATTATGATCAGGAAAAACAGTAGTGCATGCCAAAATGTCTAGATAACTATCTTGGAAAAAAGATAAGAGGAGAGCAATGTCCTAATTATACCTCAGAAAATTATTTCCTGTGACTTGGAATTCAGCTAGCTATCTCAAAGAAAGATTTAACCAATAAAAATGATCTGTGGTACAGGGTAGTAACACTGACAAAAACAGCACAAACCAAGACTAACAGCATTTTAGCAGCAGAGTTTTAAGAGATAGCAAGTTATATTTCCAGGGATGTTTTCCTTTTTTATTTTATTCAGTGACAAGCAACCCTATTTAAAAAAAAAAAACTTTTTTGCACCAAAAAATATACAGAAAACCATGTTTTAAATTGATAGCTTGGGCAAGCTATCTTGGACTAGGTATAGATAATTTTAGTATTCACTCATCTTCTAAGCCTGGCAAAGAAACAGCTTTTGTGGAAATTTTCTGAGATATGGTAAAGTGAGGTGTGGGATGGGTGCCCACTTTAAATGTCTCCAATAGAAAACACAGTGGCAGATTTATTTTTTTTGTATACTTTAAAAAAACATTTTGCTGTGCAGTATGCTCATGTTAGTCAGTTCATTCAGCTTCAACTGCTGTTTTCTGCCACAGTAAAAGATAATTAAATGAGAATGTTTACACCCTACATTGCTCTGCTCTGTGCTCCTCCAACTCCTAAAACTACCTTCCACCCTATCAGGTCAGGAAGTCAGGCTATGCAACAGTTTAGTTGAACCTAGTCATCTTCTTCAATTTCTCCTGTGGTCCATTTCAGTTGAATAATACAAAGTCAAAAAGGTAGCTGATCCTTGCTGTTTTCAGTATCTCCTTTCTGAAGAGATGACCTTTCCATTAGACATGGTATAGTGACTTGCACTGTGGGAAGTCTTTCAAAGACAGTTGGTTTGCCATTTCCCAAATGGATTTGTTTGTCTGGAAACCAAATCATTAGCTGTCTACAAGTCAGTGTTACGTTCTTCCTGTCAAAAGCTGCAAGCTTCTTGCAATGTTGGAAATCTGCCAACAAGAATTTTATGTTGGAGTACAAATTCTGTTTCAGAGCTGAGGCCTGCATTCTCAACTTCTCAATCTCTGTGGGGGTGGGACTATAGTCTATTCCTAGGAAAGGGAGGGAGAGGGTGATCCTATGGGAGGGATTAACCATCTCATTTCATAATAAACTGGAGTCTTATATAACCATAGTCACTTATAAGACCATTTTAACTGCCTCATAGCTTTACTGCTCCTTGTCCTTTGTCTACTGCAGGATCTCTTTTTAAAAAATTGGAATTCTAAGCTTCAGGGTGTTTGTTAGTTTTTTGCTACTAGTTAATTTCCTGCCTTCTTTTCTCTCTTATACTGAGTGTATGAGAAAATTTTATAATTAGTTCATGCCTCCTATTCTTATTCCTAATTTCACAAAAAAAATCATTTGCAGAAAGGTGGGGAAGAGTCCCTTAAAATTCAGAGTGGCTCTTGAATTATTAATAATAACAGTTCACAATCCCTTTGCACTTGTGAATATAATTGAATGCGCAGCATAGCAAAGGAGAATCTGGCCCTATAATTTCAAAGTGTTTATACAAGAAATAATTAATTACAACACCCCAGGGTATGTATACGCTACAGAGGGTTTTTTTGGAAAAACGGTTGTTTTTCTGAAAAAAATTCTGTTACATCTACACTGCAATCGTGTTCTTTCAAAAGATAATTGAAGGAACAAAGGGTTTTTTCCAACATTGATAATCCTCTTTCTATGAGGAAAAAGCCTTTTCTTTCAAAAAAGGTGTGTGTAGATGGGGAAATAACACAGGTGTCCTGGTGAAGACTCCGTCCAAATTAATCAGGACTCTATAGTTCCTGTCTACTGGCTGCTCGTAAAGCTTCAGGCACCCAGGACAAGCCTTGTGGCAGGAAGCCAGCCCTGGGAGCAGCACCTGACTGCGTGGCTTTCCGTGCTACACAGAAATTCAGCAGTGAACGAGCCACAAATCCCCTGAAACCACCCTGGCCTTCACAGGGAGCAGCCCGAGGGCTTCCAGGACCTACCCAGGGGAACCAAGACAGTCTTTATTGATTGTCAGTTCTGACCGCACTGTGGGAATCCAGGGAAAGGGTCCCCAGAATGAGCTTGGAGTTGAGCTCAGTCAGGACTAGGAAGGCAGCCTGCACAAAGTGCTGCAGAAACTTCAGCATGGCCGTGTGGTTATGTAAGGAGAATTCCCCACTACCATTTATAACTGTGATCTGGCCATTTCCTGAAAAGTGCAAAGTGGCTAGTATAGAAGTGGCTTATTAGAAATAATATTTAAAGATATAAATAGTGTTCTTATATTTTAGAATTAAATAGATGAATACCATATTAATATGCAATACAATACATGTTCTGCTCACTAATGTTAATGGAAAAAGGGGTTATCAGAGGCAAATGATGGGATTATTTAACATTGCCACAAAATAAGTGTGGCCAATATTGTATCTCCAGCATGGAAATCAATTTGCTACATGCACTATTTTCACATCATAGAGTATTTCCACTTTTAGAAATACCAGGATTAATTGATCTCATTTATCCTCCATGTGTCAGTCAGCAGTGCTTCAAATATATGTACTTTTCCCCAATGTAATACAATTATTTCTTCATAGTGAGTTTGGAACTCTTCCTGGCTTTGAGGATACTTTCTTAAAGAATACAACTGTTTAAAAATGTAATGAAAGTAAAGTGTAAGGTTACACTTTATTGAATTTTAAAATGTGTAGAATAATATCGCAGAATCATTGTGTTGTAGCTTCACTACAAAATTGTTCAGGCAACTTTGAAAGGTTCTAAGGATGACAATAGTTATCATTAAAAATTCAATATTTGCTCACAGTTCTGAAATTGAGATCACAGTTTCTAAAATACCACAATGCTGTAACCATTGACTTTTCATTTGCAATTGTTACATGGACATTGGAATTTAAGTGTTAGAACAATTAATGATAATGATTCACAGCCCCTATGCACTGGTGTGTATAACTGCACACGGAGCAGAGTGATAGAGAATCTGGCCCTGCAGTTTCAATGTGTTATACTAGCAAATACTTCAGTAGAACACCTAAATGTTATTTTGCACAATAGTTGCCTGG